TTATTATTATTATTATTATTATTATTATTATTATTATTATTATTATTATTATTATTATTATTATTATTATTATTATTATTATTATTATTATTATTAAGCTCAGAGAGCACCAAGGACCTCTCATTCCAACCCTGAACAACATGTATTCTCCTTTATTAAAAACCATTCTTAATGTGACATGTCTGTAATAAATTTAGTGAAGGTTCTGTGGCTTAGCCACCCTGTTTAGCCCAGTGCCATAGTCAGACGGATGAAACAGAATGAAAAAGATCAAACATCAAAAAAAAAAAAAAAAGGGCACCAATCGCCACCTAATCCAAAGCCTAGCCAAAAAAAGAAAAAGAAAAAACAGGTCTTCAGCCATTTGTAGAAGACAAAATGGTGGGAACAGTATAAGTCAGGGGTCCTCAAACTTGGCCACTTTAAGACTTGTGGACTTCAATTCCCAGAATTCCTTAGCCAGTTGGGAATTGAAGTCTGCAAGTCTTAAAGTGGCCAAGTTTGCAGACCCCTGGTATAAATCTCTCTGGAAACATCTTCTCCATCCCCCCCCCCAATGTGAGGTTGGCTCCAACCCTCCTATCCTTTCCTAAGAGCCTAAAGACCTGGATCTGCCAATTGGTCTGGGACCCCAATGGGGAAACAGCACACATCTCCCTATTCTTCCCCTGCCCTCCCACACGTGTCCTTGCTTTTAATTTAAGTTGCTAAATGAATGGTGATAAGTCAAGGACTACCTGTACATTCTCCTCCACCTCCAATAATAAAAGTCAGCTCAAGAAATAGCAACTGTTAAAAACAGGGCAAATGATTTAAAAGCTCTCAGGCACTCCAGCAATAAGAAAATAGCTAAATTTGCCAGACAAATTTTAGCACAGTACTACGAAATCTGATTAGGAACCAAGTCCTAATAGCTTTGTTGGAAAGGCCAGGCAAGCAAGCAACATCACAAATTGGTAGCTGGCAAGTCAGAGCACGGAACAATTTTGCCTGGGAAAAAAAACCACAGTCTCATTTTATTCCTCTGATTCTCAGGATGGTCACCTGTTAGGCATGGTCTAAGGCAGGTATGTCAAACTCGCAACCCGTGGGCTGCATCCAGCCCGCGCAGGCCACACCCACCCCAGCACCGCAAAAGTGAAAAACTCCTGATAGGTCACCATATGGCCCACATTGCATTCGGGCTTGATACCTCTGATCTAAGGGAACCTGTACTTCAATGTCAATTCCAACTCTTTGATCCTACCATTTATGAATGGCACTTTCATCTTAATCCCCAGAATAACCATTCACTATTCTTTTTTTCTTTTTTTTTAAAAATCAACCTTTAATTACTTTCTATGTCCAGATTATTTGAGGTCACAAAAGCGGCTTACCAAAGGAACAGAGAACTCTGCATCAGTCATTTGATCAGAAGCAACGTGGTGTAGCTGTGGGTGATCGTTTTTTAAGAAGAGCTGTAATCCGACTTTTCTCAGCCCTGCAACAGAATTTCTTATCTTCTGGAGGGGGACTTGCAAAATTAATTCTTTTTTCTAAAATGTATATAGCTAGTATTGGGGAATAGCCAACTGTGTATCACAGTGCAAGAAGTCAAGGTCATCCATCGAAAGTATACGCCACAAAATTTAGGACCAAAAGAAGGAAATGCTTTTCACATGGGGTATACTGAAGGTGTGCAGTTCACTGCCAGGAATTGTAACAGCAACCATATTTAGATGGGTTTAGAGAGGGACTGGACAGATTAATAAAGGATCAGCCTATCAATGGCTATTATTAACAGCCATTAACAAGCACGCATAGATAAACAACATCTACATAACATTTAAAGCAAAAAGCAAAAAAAAGGGAAATAGAAAGACTAAAACACCTCTTCACTAACACTCATCGCCCTAAGGCCAGAGGCCTGGGAATGGAAGTGCAACATCTCACCATCAAGCCTGCCAATGCAGGGACCACTAGCAAAACAAATCCTTTGAATGTAACTGGACAATAAAGAGATAGCATGGAGGAGGAACAGGAAATGGAAAGTTAACTAGGGAACACAAACATTAGTTCTGGCTTTGCTGTACTGTAACCACTTGGTCTTTAGTAAAAGTATACTTTTCTCACAAATGGAGGTGAGGGTCTTTCTTTCCTAAGAAATTAAGTCGGGCAGGTGTGACAATTTGACAGACTCTTGGTCCCAGTTTGGGGCTGATTTTCATTATGGATTACTACATTTTTATCCTGCCTTTCCTTTAGGAAATTGACAATGCTAATGCTCGCCTCCCCCACACACCTGCTTTTGAACCTGAGTCTTTACATCTTCTATAGGCAACACTGTATTATTTCCACCACATTACTTTAGACAAGCTGAAACTTGTCAAGCCGAACAAGTGCGAGAATTCTGTGGGAACTCCATTCCTTGCCAGCTTCAGGAACAAATGTAGGTTGACAAGATAGTAGTTCACTGCTTTGGAAAGAAGAAGGTAGCCTATCTGTGTGCACCTTATGGGTTGCTGTTGTTGTTGTTTCCTGACAACCTCTTTTCTTGTTGAAAAATACAGCTGCAGTTTGGTTCTTATGCTGTCACTTGAGGCAGTTGCATTGTGCCCTACAACGTCTCTGCCCCATGGTAAATCTTTTCAGTGGCATCATCAGAGGAAGATGTGGAATCCCTGCTAGTCAATATTAGACTTCAGTCAAAAGTAGATGGGGACTCTACTTAATAAAGACATCACAAGAATTTTTGTAGGACTTCATCTCATTAGATGATTTCCAGTGACAAGCTTCGTCCAATTTTCTCAGAGCTTGAAGGGCAACTTCGGGGAGTTGATGTCTGACTTTTGGGTTCCTTATGGTTCTCAAAGTAAATTTTTTTTCCCTATTATGTCCTCCCCTTAATGTCACCAAAATTCTCCTCAACTTTAAGAAAATAAAAAATTACCTGGAGACCTCCTTCATCTTCTGCCTTCCCCATATGGATGCCCTCCAGCTGTGAACCATAATTCGTAGCCAATATGATCAAAAACTCCCTTTTTATGACCCTGTAATCTCTTAATTTGGGGTAGAGTCAGGGCGATTGGATGGAGCTGAGCGTTTACTGCCCTTCCTGACACCACAAGGAGTTCACAGCAGATTTTTTTCTTTCACTCTAGGCGAGAAATATCTGCTGCGACCTCGGATTGAACTCTCAACTTTCCCAATGGGAAGTGAGCGTCTTTATCACTAGTCCACCATGCTGCTCATGGCCAGTACGATCAATAGATAGTCATGTAATTTGGGAGTGAAGAGAATTAAAAAGCTGGAAGGCATCAGATTGGGTAAGACTGGACAAGATGACCCAGGAGATTCATCCACTGGTCTCTAGGAGTTGGATTCTATCAATCTCTCTCCCATTCTTGAGGAGCATTTGATTGATCCTGTTGTCATTTCTACTTTGTGTGAAGGAACCTATGTGATGACAGTGACGGCCAACGATGCCGATGACAGCACCACAGCAAATGGGATGGTGAGGTACCGCATTGTGACTCAGACTCCACAAAGTCCATCCCAAAATATGTTTACCATTAACAGCGAGACTGGAGATATAGTGACAGTTGCCGCAGGACTCGATCGTGAGGTAAGGGATCAACTTATTTGGTTAACAAGTAGTCCCCACTTCATAGCTACAGCTAGTCCTTGACTTACAATCATTCATTTAGTGATTGTTCGAAGTTACAACAGCACTGAAAAAAGTGATTTATAATTGTTATTCACACCTACGACAATTGGAGCATTCCCCATGGTCAGGGGTAGGCAACCTTGGCTCTTTTATGACTCCCAGAATTCCTGAGCCAGCATGGCTCAGCTTGGAAACCTCTCCCTTTCCCCTCAGCAAGGCTGGCTCAGGAATTCTGGGAGTTGAAGTCCCCGAGTCATAAAAGAGCCAAGGTTGCCTATCCCTGACCATGGTCATGTGATCAAACTTTGGAGACTTGGCAACTGGATCATATTTATGACCATTGCAATGTCCTGGAATCACGTGATCACCTTTTGCAACCTTCTAACAAACAAAGTCAAATGGGAAGCTAGATTCACTTAACAATCATGTTACTAACTTAACAACTGCAGTGATTCACTTAACAATTGTGACAAGAAAGATTGTCAAATGTGGCAAAACTCATTAAAAAACTGTCTTGCTTATTAACAGACATTTTGGGCTTATTTGTTGTGGTAAGTCGAGGACTATCTGTATTTTTTTCCTCTCTAAAGTAGATTAACTTGGTCTGTACAAGGTGTCTTGTTAAAGAGTAGTCTCAAATAAGGATATTTTAAATTCCAATGTTTCCTTAAGCAAATGTGTCATATATGTTCGTTTGCTTTTTTGTTTGGTTGTTGTTCTTTTCTGATTTTCTTTACTATGTTTTATCGTCTTTTAAGTTTTTGTTTCCTTGAAAAAAGCAAGAAAGGTCAAATAAAAAAAATAGATAATAACTGAGCTCCCTGTGGTCTTCAACCCTCCCTCCTTGCCCAAAGTCCAGCATATGCTTAAGGTGCTTCAAAAAAGTCTGAGTAGGGATTGTGGGCTATTTGAAGATTAGGAGCATATGGCAGGCTGCATATGCTCTTTTAAATTAGGAATGTCTGCCAATTAAGTATTTATTCTTTTTACTCAAACAGTAAAGCCTGAACAAAAAGCTGACCTACATCTGTGAATTTTAACTGTACTTTGGTGTTGCAGAATGATGGAGCAAACAATTTAGTAGAGGAATAGCAATAGATGCGAAACAATTTCTTCATTTTTCCTGTTTTTCTTCTGTTATCTATCCCCTAGTCTTTTTTTTTGCCTTTTGATCTGATAAACATATGTCCATTTCTTCTTCTTCTTCTTCTTCTTCTTCTTCTTCTTCTTCTTCTTCTTCTTCTTCTTCTTCTTCTTCTTCTTCTTCTTCTTCTTCTTCTTCTTCTTCTTCTTCTTCTTCTTCTTCTTCTTCTTCTTCTCCTCCTCCTCCTCCTCCTCCTCCTCCTCCTCCTCCTCCTCCTCCTTCTCCTTCCTTTCCTCCTCCACCCATTTCTCCCTTCCTCTTTCCTCTCTACTCTCTCTATCTCCCTTCCTTCTTCCCTTTCCCTTCCTCCTTTTACTTTTCCTTACATTTTCTGACAATACCCAAGCTACATTTTCTGAATTTTACTTTTCATAATCAGCATATCCTGTTTTTCCTATCCTAAAACTAAAAAATGGAGGGCGAGGGAAGGAATTAGGTTTCCTTTTTCAGGATTTCCAGAATCCTGCCTCAAAGTTTGAAAGAAGACTCTAAAGAGCCCAATCTGATTAGTGCAGAGAAGCTTGTCCAAAAGTCCTCTTTTTCATAGGGGCCTAACAAGTTGTGTCAAAGCCTCTGCCCAAGTGATTTCTTCTCTGTCCTCCCCCCCCCCTCCCATTTTTCTCCTCTCTCCCATCAGTGTCTCTGCTTGATTCATTCAAACACCTCAGGCTGATGTTTGCTTGGAGGGATGCATCAAGGTTTCAAGGAGCTCAGAGCTGCTTTGAGGCATCCCAGCAGTGCCTTACAGCAAAGATAGATGCCTAAATGCTGCCTCCAAGCAGGCTGGCACTGGTGGTCACTGGTGGATTCAGAGAACTTGAGGGAAATATCGGCAGCAAGTCTGCAGCCAAGAGTGAATGACTTGTCAAAAAGATGTGGACATGACAAGGAAGATGGATGCCAGGTACTTGCCCAAGGCAGATTTTCCAGCTGCACTTGACCTTCAGGCAGGAGAGTTGGCTCAGACTGGGCCAGTTGGTTAGATGGAGAAGGAATATTCAAGAGGCCGAATGTGCTGGAGATTAAAAGGAGCTGGAAAAAAGGAGCCATGATATTGGCTTCCTCTCCAGTGTCAGCTGACTTAGCATAGACATTATTTTACAGTCCTTGTTGCTCCAAAAACTTCTCGTCTCTCGAGATTTGGAGCAAACTACTGTTTTCTTTGGTTTTGCAAAATTCAGCAACCATGGCCTGACCTTCCCTTTTCCCCTTAAAATGTTATTTTGTGCAATTACTATAATAGCAATAGTAATAGAATTTAGACTTGTATACTGTCCCACAGTGCTTTACAGCACTCTCTGGGCAGTTTACAATGAAGAAGCATTATTTTCATATAGACCCCAACAATCTTGGTCCTCATTTTAGCGACCTCGGAAGGAATGAAGACTGAGTCAACCTTCAGCAAGTCAGGATCGAACACCAGGCTGTGGACAGAGTTAGCCTGCAGTATTACACTTTAACCACTCCTTGATTAGAATAGGCTAATCCTAGTCATTAGAATACACTATCCTTAGTCAACCAAAATGGGCAACTTTTAATAACCATAACCAAACAAATCATGTAGATCCAACAAAATGTCCCCCAGGAATGCAATTGCCCCCCAAAATATGGAGCCATCCAAATAGAAACAGGACAGGCCATGCCAGAACTAGGACCAAACTATTTAAGTGGGGAATGGCCAGTGTGACTGTGGTGCACCAGAACAAACAATAACACATATTATTTGAAGATGTCTTCTCAGGAAATTTCAAGGCACCTGGGATGACCTCATCACAGCCACACCAGAAGCAGTTAGATGTTAAGCTTCTTTAGATATTGCACTATAACATCTGTCCTATTGTGACTCTACGGCACCACATTATGGCAATTTTATCATGGTTTTACTCTAATTTAATATTTTATCTCACCTATTGTATTGTCCACACATTTTACGTACATGTATTTGCTGATGCCTTGTTTATATTTGTGTTTGTATGTATAGTGTGTTTTATCAGTGCTGTTGCATGTCTTCTTTAGCTGACATATGCTAAATGAAATAAAAAATAAAAATCTTAGTCGTGAGACCAGAAGCCACAGATCTTAGGGAGGGTCACTTGTTTTTATCTGAAAGGAAGATTCCCCCCACCTCTTCCAATATAATTGATTTCTAATGTAAGAGCATTATGTTAAGACAATGCTTCGTTTCAATGGGCAGGGCAATCTTCAGCCTTTCAAGGCTGATGTCAGCTCTTGGAGGTGGAGCAGTTCACAAAACAGTCATGAAAGAATTCCAGGAATGCTCTTGATTGTAGTAAAGTAGAATAACAGAGTCTTAAAAGCCTGTCAAAGTTTCTCTCTTATTATGTTGAGTTTCTTTTGCACAACTTCCTTTTTCTCCAGATTTTCTCCCTCTAAAAGCTCATTCATTCTCAAAGCTCAGCTCTAAATTCTTTTACAGCAGGTATATATGCATTACTGGTTTCATAATTCACCCATTTCCATTGGGCTTAAGACATTTTTTTTAAAAAAAAAACCCACATAAATCCTTTAAAAGAAGTAAAACATGGATGCATTTTGCTACTGTCTCTGCCGCAATGTTTTTAGACATTCCAATTTGGTCAACAGCTTTGATATTTCAGGTCTCCCTTTCAAGTACTAATGAGATCCAGTATTGGATGGATTCTGGACCCAGATGACACTGGCTAGATATAAAGATTTGCCAAGATATCAGGGCTAGGGCCATGAAGTCACTCCACTTGAAGAAGACTTAACTAAGCAAGATTCGTTTATTTAATTTTAGGCCATCTGGCTCCAGAATGAGTCCGAGCAGCTTACAACTTCAAAAGCAATAAGAAAAAAGAAAAGATCACATAAATCCAAACTACACTTCATATACTATAAACTAGAATGGACACAACCAAGAATAACCACATTTTTAAAGACTTAGAACATAGCACATAGAATAATAGAGTTGGAAGGGACCTCCAACCACCTGCTCAAGCAGGGGACCCTATATCATTTGATACAAATCATTGTCCAATCTCTTTTTGAAAGCCTTCAGTGATGTAGCACCCACAACTTCTGAAGGCAAGCTATTCCATTGGCTGATTGCTCTCACCGTTAGGAAATTTCTTCTTATGAAAGAAGGCGAATATACGTGTCCTGGGATAATCTTGCAGGATCCAATCTGAGTCAGTCACTGGGACGAGAGGTTTAGTCTTCTGAGCTTTCAGTTTCATGCAGGAGCCCATCTTCAAGGAACTTCTCTCTAGGCTAGAGAGAAGTTCCCTGAAGATGGGCTCCAACACAAGTCCGAAAGCTCGGAAGAAAAAACCTTTGGTCCCGGTGACCAACCCAGATTGGATCCTGAAATTTCTCCTTAGTTCTAGGTTAGTTTCCAACCATTGTTTCTTGTCTGGACTATCATCAGGATGGGATGGGATGGGAATCACATGGATTTCTAGGGGGAAATGATTCCAGATTACAGACATCACAACAAAGAAGGCACACTTCCTAGACATCAATAGATTGCACTGATCTATTGATTGAGGGGACACAAAGTACACCAACTCTGCCCAGGTTTACTATATAGACCAGAGGTCCCCAACCTTTTGGGCACCAGGGACCGGTTCCATGGAGAGAGGTTTTTTTTCACGGACCAGAGGGTGTGTGGTTTTCTGTGCTGCCTGCATCTCGCGGATGGGGTTTTGCTTGTTTGTGCGGACCAGTTGCTGGTGTGCCGTGGCCTGGTACTGGTCCATGGTTGGGGACCCCTGATATAAACAGAAACCATTTAGCAATCATTCAAAGTTCCAATGGACCTATCTAAAGGGTT